CCGTTGATTTCCGCACTGATGCGACTCTCATCGTGCCCTCTTCAACGCTAACGCTCTCTCTGCTATGTCGGTGGGCGTACCGCGCCAACTGCGCCAAGAGTGAGCCATGCTAGATCGCCGAGGTCAAATCTTTCGCTGCCAATTGCGCGTCGGTCCGCACCCTCAGGAGGTCCGCCTGTCTCCCAACTAGGCAATTTTCCCTTCTTTGACCTTCGTTCTTATCGTGAAATCCTCCCTTAAATCGCATAGCGGCCGATAGCACTGGCGGAGCTTGCGCCTTGCCCTTGTGAGAGTCTCATTGATTGGTCACTCTTCAGGTGGGATTGAATATGTACAGTGAAGTACGATAAAGTGAGGGACCATCCAATAAATTCCAATTTCATAGGATGGAGCTCAAATACGACCCACATTACCAGTTTTAAGATGATTTTAAGTGTTTTGACAGTTTTTATTCGTTTCTTTCATCGGTGGTGGATCATTACCACAAGTATCTTAAATATGCACCTACTTAGTCTTGAGATGTGCATCTAATCGAGTCATATATTAATGAGTCGAATGAAGCTGGATTTTGTACACTGATTAAGATATGTTCAAATAGTATATTTCAAGGAAGTAAAATGATAAAATGCGATGTAAATAGAATTTTTTGGAGAGGAACCTCGCATCCTATTCCCCCTTAGATTAGGCATTTCTGAGGTCGAAGAGTAAAGATTAAATTGTGAATCAGAAATATCCGGTCAACTCCGCTACGCCGTGCACCAGGCATTTCGATTTTCTTATAAACGTTACGGCGCTTGAATGTCAACAAAGGAGCTCTCGCCCAATGATTTGTCGTCGAAAGATATCAATGCGCACTCAAATTTGAAAAAATGATGAAGAGTGATCCTTTTGCCTTTCTAGACAGCCATTCTCAACAAACTTATCATGGAAATAAAGAAATTCGTCGCTATCATATCACATGGTAGTCAGAACTTATTTCATGGTATAAACTCGACGCAACTGACGCTGGTAATGCCTGATCTGAAAGTGGCGCGACCTTAATCCCTGATCACAGATTACCGTGTAACACCTGTCAACTGAGTGTGAACAACAGACAGACAAAAACAAGCATGAGTTGAGTCATGCATAGGATTGCTTCGTTTTGTGGGAGGGCTCCCAAGGGTCAAGTGTGGTGAAGGTCAACATAATCGAAATTTGTTCGAGAGTACAAGATAGACCTTCGAATTCGAGGTTAGATGCGAAAACCATCAGGTGTTTACCATGTTGGAGTACACCAAAGATTCTGTTGGCCTTCTCATTATTAGATTTATTAGATCTCTCATATCCGCTTCAAGAACGGCTGACTTGGTTTTTGGTGCGATTTTCGAAATTGATCATTTTATCATTTTTATAGGGGCCACTGTTACATGAATGGAAGCCCTGAAGAGTTTGGCAGCTCACTGGACGGATTACACCCACAAAATGTTAAAGGAGAAGCTTGTCCTTCATATGGGTTAAATCAGGTCGTGCCCAGAAGTTCATGAGAAGGAGACAAGCACTGTTCTTCCAAGCAACCACACTGGGTTTTATCAAACAGTGCCATTTTTCGTCATTTTCAAAACTACGCTCGAGTTCGCGCTCCGTAAACCAGCCATCTACATCTTTATAATTTATTTCTGGTCAACTTGATGTGACCACTGGAAAATCAAAAGACAGGCGGGAGGGCTAAGCCCTTTCAACATTTGTCGTTCGCTTTTTAGGAATGTGCCTTCAAATTCTGCCCAGAGCCTTTGGGGTACACGGATAGACATGTGGCATACTCTATAAACTCAGTGTTCAAAAAAATTTAGAACGGGTCCGCACCACTTGAATGAGGTTTTTGAAGCGGACGGATTCACATCCGTTAGATGCCTCTGAGAAGAAGCGGGTACTCAATTCGTAGGTTGCACTTTC